TCATAGAATGTCTTTTGTGAAAAAATTAGCCGAATTAATTCTCAAATAAATTAAATGAACATTAATCTTTTTTTGTACTTTAATCAACAATAATCTCAATGTATTTCATTATATCCTGAAATTTTGGATCGATGGTGTGCTATGCTGCCCTTATATTAACATAACCAAATGCAATAGCCTTAAATAAAATAGCATCCAACTACTTTAAAGTATGAGATAGGCAAATAGTCTAGATGGATTGTATCAATTTTATAAATTTAATGTCTAAAATTTTCAACTTTGATGTAGATCGCATAGCAGCACAATACTTGAATTCGATGTCGAGGTGGTTCGGGCCGATCAAACGTGTTGATCTTTTCAAAAGCACTTCCACATATTTGAGTTTCCAAATAGCCATGTCAAGTTAGCAGCGACAGGGGCAAAATGAACTTATCGCACCACTAACAAGGGATGCAATGACTCAGGGCAGATTTCGAACAAATTACTTCGTTTATGGCCTGAAAAGGGCATTTTGTCACTTTTGGTAATATTTTGTAATCGAATAACTTCACCATCTAAAGTCAGAAATTGATTACTGTCAGTTCTGCCTTAATTCGACTGATTAATAATTTTTAGCAGTATAATTAGTTTAAAATTTTTTTTTTTTGGCAAAATCTGTACTAATAGCCTAATTTCTTAATTAATGATAATTAGCTCACTTTTGATTATTTCGTAATTAGTTTTAGCACTATTTATACCGTTGTAAGCCTTATGGTTAAACAATTTTTGATTGATTAATATAATTGAGAGAGCTTCTCTTTTATTTCTAATAATTCTAGTATTTTTTGTGAATCAATAGATCAATTGAATTATTTAAAACTAGTATTTTTTGTGGATCAACAACTTTAGAGTATGATTATAATATAGTATTTGTGCCAAATCAACGTTTTAGTTTCATTATCCCATTCTTTTATTTTTCACCTTTATTCTACCCGTTTCCCTATATCAAACTCCTACATAGTTGAGTCGTTAGTTTTATGACGGAAATGATTACGTGTTATTTTTTCAGACAGTGTCACGTGATTATTTTTGTCAAAAATTAACGGTTCGTCCGAATATAATGACTATTTAAGGATAAAACTATGTGCATCAAATCATCTGCAGCCTTTGAATCAATGATGAGACCTATTAATCTAACGGGTTGCAGATGATTTGGTACACACTTTTGGTGTGCGTAGCATTGCTCACTATTTTGACTCGAATTTAATATTTTAAAATCAAAACTAATACTTTGAGGATTAAAGTGACAAAACAAACATATATTAAGGATAAAAAATAGTACTAACCCATTGCAATAATGTATATGTATATGGTAAATCGAACCATATTAAACAATTTGCATGCTTACGATCGAGAATATATTTCTTTAAACGTATAATGCAGAGATGAGGTTTTTAAATCTAAATTCTAAAAATAAATAAATTAACAAATAGATTTACAGACAACCCCAGGTCACACCATGCGTCGGCACATGCACACAAATGCTTAGTCTCTCTCTCTCTCTCTCTTTTTTTTTTTATATTAAAAAAGGCCAAAATAAATAAATAAATAAGTATGAGTTGTATTCGCTTTCCACGACTCTTCACTATTTTAGCTGAAATTCATATTCTAAACTATTAAATTACAATATTTTTAAACGATTGATAACGACATTAAAAGTATGATAACATTGCATAACATAGTTATAATTGTTATATTTCTGATTAGGGTTTTTAATATTCAATTTACTGTCAGTTAGGTACTACTCCTCAGAACGCTACAATGACTTTTAAGAGTAAATAGTAATTTAAAGTTAATAAATTATTAATTTTTAAGTAAAATGATATATCTATATGAAGATGATTTTTCTTTTTTTAAAAAAAAATCTTTGTTTGTCAATTAACTTATAGACCGTAACTTTCAACCTACTTTTTGAGTTTGTTCAATATTCTAAACCTGTTATGCAATAAACGAAAATATTGAGTTAATTGTGCGATAATAGAATTGTTACGCAATAACAAAATTTATATTTTAAAAATTATTATAGAAGTAGGAACTCAAGTAAATATTCAATTTTTAATAAGCACCAACAAAATACTTTTCTCTCGATTTGTTTCCAAAATTTTTGATGCAAACAAATGAGAGAGGAGGAGCTTCGAATATGAGTTGTACAAAGTGTGGTTTGAAAAAAAAAAAAAACTCATTTTTCTCCGAGTTTTCAATGAAAAATCCAAACAAAGGTAGTCTACAATTAGAAAGAAAGTCTTGTCCATTATTTTTTGGGTACGAAATTGCGAAATTGTGCAATTCAAAGCATGGAATATACGTACATTATGTATAAAGTATAAAAAGAAAGAAATTGGAATTCTTACAATCCCATAAGATAGTTTGACAATCCAATACCAATACCAATACCTAGACTTTTCCAAAGAGAAATTAAGGTTCTTACAATCCCATTAATGGTTTGACAATCCAATATCAATATCAAGACTTGTCCAAAAAGAAATTAAAACTCTTACAATTTCCACAAAAAGTTTGACAATCCAATTCCTAGACTTGTCCAAAAAGAAACTTCAAACCGCGTCCATAAATATATTCAAGGGTTAATTATAATTTTTTTCCCTCCAATTATGCCTTTTGTTGCAATTAATTCCCTATGGTTTTAAATGCTGTAAGTTGCCCCCTTCAAGTTTGAAACAGACTAAATTGATCGATAACAGTGATTGGAACATGAAAATACAATTACAATCTCCATCTTATACATTATTTTGCATATTTTTTTCTTGAGATGTCACTTTTATCCCTTAAAATAAGGAAACAAAAAAAGTCAAGAAAAAAATATATCTGTTCAACCGAACACCAACACACTGCACAATACCATATTCGCTTCCACCTCCAGCTCCATCCAACACCAACACATGCGCACACCCATCCACACACACACACACACTCTTTTAATGGATAATTATATTTTTTTAAATAAAGTAGAGATCTCGTGAATTTCTTATGTTTTACTTTATATATTTTTATGGTTCAAAATTAACTATTAGAGTTAATTGTAAAATATTCAAATTTAAAAAGATCCAATTTGTTAAAATTAAAATCTAAAGGGATGAATGACAAATTATCCAACCAACGAACCTTGGTCCAATAATATCCTTTCTTTACGAAGACTTCTTGAGTTTGTATGTAAGATTTGAATGACTTTTGGTAAACCAACAAATACAAATAACTAACGAATGATTTAATATAAATCACCACCACCTTGATTTTAACACTCACGAGTTCATTTACCTGCTATTACATCAACACAATATATAACTTATATATATATATATACACATATTTTGTGATCGAATAACGCATAATTACAATTTGAGATACGACTCCAAAACTAGGGTTTAACTTCAATTTTATTGGATTCCTATAGCAATTAGGTTGTTTTTTGGGTTCAACGGGTCAGGATCTTTGGACTTATTTATGCGAACGACTAATCTTTTTTTTAGTCCAATCAAAGACAAATTTTAAAATATCTGAATTTATAATTTATCTCTATTACTATTTAAACTACGCTTTGAAATTCATATAATAAATTTATTAGTCCCTTCAAATGACGGGTAGACAACGAAAAACTAAATAAGCAACAGATACAAAAAATCAATTATGGATGGATTATAAACGTTGAGTATAAAATGACTAAATTTTAACACCAAACGACCCAGATTTCATTAAAATTCATCAAAGTAATACTAGGCATAGAAGATATGAAGAACGTCCCAATCCCACTGTTCTAACGACCTACGGCGTCAACGCATACAATTAATTCGATAATTTATTAAACTTGTTCACCTTTGTATTATGAGAACCTGCACATTTTTTTTCTTATTTTCTAAGAATTTCTTTTGTTATCCCCTGTAAAACCTTACATAAGCCTCTGTTGTTCATCAATTTTCACACAGATCTCCCAATTCCCAATTAACAAACGTACCAACGAACCAACCGTTGAGCCTTCCAACCTTTTCTCTGTCTGCAACTGTTTTTCCTCTCAGGTAAAACCTCAAACACCTGAACAACAGAACTCCAATCGTTTATAATCTATACACACATATTTATATGTATATTGTCCCTTCTTTTTGGGGAAATTGATGCATTTGTTCTAAGGTTTGGAGTCTTTGAACAAAGATGATTGTTTTAATGTCTGATGTTTTAGTTTTGGGAAAATTGTGAGAGGAAATGAACCATTTTTTTCCTTTTGTAGAAATATTCTGGAGATAATAGAGACTCGCGATTGGTGAGTTGGGTTCTGTTTGGGGTTTGGAGGGCTTGGGGGTTTGTGGGTTTGTGGGTTTTTGGATTTGATTTGTAATTTGTTGTGGGTGGTGTCATTCGGGTGATTAGGGGTTGAATTGGGTTGAACTTGAACGGATTTTCAGGTGGGAAATATTGGGTTTTTGAATGTGATTGAAATTGATCAGACTTGGTGACAAATATGGTGGAATTTTGAAAGAGTTTGAGGTGGAAATTGGTAGGTTTCGGAATTATCTGAGTTCAGCTTTTCAAACAAGTAAGAAGACTGAGGAAATTTGATGTGGGTGAATTTTGATTCACCTTGGTGTTTGACGATTTTGTTTTTGCAACAGACGATAGAAAATTTAATCCTTTTTAATTGTTTATGGTAATATATTGGGTTTTGGTAATATAAAACAAGCTTGGAAAATTAATTTCTGGATAATTTATCTGGGAATTTGCCGATATAAAAGATGCTCTTGATTGCTCTAACCAATTTCATGATATTTTCTTTGGGTATTTGGAAATACACCACGGAACTTAGATTTGCTTGTGTTGTGCAGTGTCTTTGGAGCTTGGTAATAGGTAAGGAGATTGAGAATAATATTACTCTGGCAAAATTTTTCGGCGATCTTTGAGGGTTGGCTCTTGGGCTTCGAATTTGAGCAGATTGCAGCTAGGGATTTGAATATATAATGGATGAAGCTCAATGTAATGCTAATGCATTGCCTCCTTTCCTCACAAAGACCTATGAAATGGTGGATGATCCCTCCACGGATTCCATTGTTTCCTGGAGTCAGAGTAATAAAAGCTTCATTGTGTGGAATCCACCAGAATTCGCGAGGGATCTATTGCCCCGATATTTCAAGCACAATAACTTCTCCAGCTTTGTCAGACAACTCAATACATATGTGAGATAACTGGTTTTATTTCTTCTTCATTTACTTTCAGATGATCCTATATCCAAAGTTTATGTTCTAATTTATGTTTATGCTTTTTTTCTCCTTCCCGGAACTGGCCACCAGGGATTTAGAAAAGTTGATCCTGAGCAGTGGGAATTTGCAAATGATGATTTTATTAGAGGTCAGCCACACCTTTTGAAAAACATCCACAGACGCAAGCCGGTTCATAGTCATTCCCTACAGAATCTTCAAGGACAAGGAGCTTCTTCATCACCATTAACTGAATCAGAAATACAGGGATATAAGGACGAAATTGAGAGGTTGACATGTGAAAAAAAGTCACTTCATATGGAGTTACATACACACGAGCAGGAGCAGCAAGGAATTGAACTGCAAATGCGGATTTTGACAGAGCATTTGCAACATGTGGAGCAACAGCAAAAAAATATGTTATCATCCTTGGCTCGAGTCTTACATAAATCAGAGCTTGCTCTGAATCTCTTGCCACAATCCGAAGCACATGATAGAAAGAGGAGGTTGCCAAGAAACAATTATTTTTGTGATGAGGCCAGCATTGAACATAATCAGTTGGGCACTTCCCAAATTTTGACTAGAGAAAATTTAAATGGTAGTTCTGTTTTGGTGTTTAACAAGGAATTGTTGGAGCAGTTGGAGTCTTCGCTTTCATTTTGGGAGTATATCATACACGATGTTGGTCAAGCTTACATGCAACAGAACTCATCCGTGGAGTTCGATGAAACTACAAGTTGTGCAGATAGCCCGACTATATCTTACATGCAATTAAATGTTGAAATTGGAACTAAAACTTGTGGGATTGACATGAATTCCGAGCCTGCTACTGCCGTTGTTCCTGAGGTTGCCACTTCAGAAGAGCAAGTAGCTGTCACTGTGGCTAATGTGTCAACTGGGGTTAATGATGTATTCTGGGAACAATTCCTGACAGAGAATCCTGGTTCAACTGATGCGTCCGAAGTTCAGTCAGAAAGAAAAGGTCTAGACAGCAGAAATATTGACATCAAACCAGTTGACCATGGGAACTTTTGGTGGAATAGGAAGAGTGTAAATAACCTTGCAGAGCAGTTCGGGCAGCTTACTCCTGAAGAGAGAACTTGATTTTAGTAGGTTACATATACTGTTATTTTTCTCTAGTTTCATTTTTTCGCCTTTAATGTGAGTATATGTAAATTTAGAATTGATTTCACTGTTGTTGTGCATATTGTGATATATTGATGCCAGAAATTTTTTTCATTCATGAACATTTTTGATTTTATCATATATCTCCATGTTATAGACAACATGCTTTCCATTTTCTCTTGGATTCGACACCCAGACAAATACAACACAGTGATATGGGCCTATGCGGATAGTTCCACTCCTCAACATGCTCTCCTTGCCTTCCTCCAAATGCTATGTGAGTACCTTGTTGCCCCAGACAACTACACTTAGATTTTTATTTTTAAGGATTGTTCAAGCCTTCGCAGTGTTGGAAATGGGCAAGAAGTTCATGGTCATGTGGCACGATTGAAATTGGGGATGAGGTATATATGCAATACCTTGATTCACATGTGTGCCAGTTGTAGATATTTTCATCTTGGGCTTAGTTTGCTTGATAAGATGCCAGTGAGGGATGTTATCTCTTGTCATGCAATGTTGAGTGCAAATGTAGACATGGGTTTGGCGGACTTGGATTTGGGTTGTTTGACGAGATGCTTGAAAATAATTTGCATTCTTGGAATTTTATGATTTCAGGGTATGTCAATGATCGGTTACTTGATGAAGCAAGAGGGATTTTCGACATATGCCAATGAAAAATATGGTTTCTTGGAATGCAATGATCACTCGATGTGCTCAGGCAGCCAGGCAAGTCGTTTTGGTGATGCATTGCACAATGCAAAGGAAAGTGGGTTCATGTGTGTATTGATAAGAATGGGATTGTTGTGAATGGTTTTTCAGCTTTATTCTTGTAATCATGTATCCCAAATCCCAAATGTGGGTTTGTGATTTGTGAGAATGCTTTTGAAGTGTTTTGCGATACTTCGAGGGAGGCTATTAGTACCCAGAATTCAATGACATGATTAAGCATTCATGGATTTGGAGAGCATGCATTACAGATTTTCCGTGGGATGGTTTTGACCCAAATGAGGTTTTTTTTTTTTTTTTATAAGCTTGCAGTCAGGCAGGTTTGCTAAATGAGGGGCGTGGAATTTTTGACCTCATGGTTTGTATTTATAAGATTCAATCCACCATTTGGCATTTGTGATGTTGATCTACTCATTTCGTTCAGATGGTTAAAAAAATTGAGGAACTGTGAGGCAAACACCACTAAGGCCCGTCTTTGGGAGTCTCTTTTGGGTGCTTTCAGAAATCATGGTGATGTGGAATTGGCCGGACACATTGATAGGAGACTTTTAGAGTTGGATTCTGAAGACTCTGCTGGTTATGTTCAATTGTCATATATTCCTGCATCAATGAGGAAATGGGATCATGTTGAGGAGCCAACAAGGAAACTGAGGACACGAGGAGTAACTAAAGAGCCAGGTTGTAGCATGGTTGAAGTTAATGGAATTGTTCACGAGTTCTTAGCTAGTGAAGGAATGATTTCTAGATACGGCCGTGAGTGTCTCCCTCTGGAGATTCTGAGCAATCTGTCAGATATCAATTTCAAACCTGTTCTAATTTTGTCTGAGGAGTCAGGCAGTTGGTTTCTGATAAAGTTTATAACTAAAAAGCTTATGTGGTAAGTCCTCATTGTTGTTGAGGATTTCAGATGGGTAGAAGAACTCCCTTGATTGAGAATGTCCACTGCGCTTAGCTGTTTATATTGAGACGGAATTTAATCAATGTTGGCAATTAGTCTATAGCACCTTCAAAGACATTTGAATTGGATTTTAAGTGGAACAGATCTGCATTCTTCTGGGCTTTGAAAAAACTTCAGAAATTGATGACTTGTCCTCTTGGAGTTTCGAAGTTGATTGATGAGTACAACATCAGAAGCAGGAGAGCTTAGATCGTATGTACTCCCTTACTGTAGCTTCTCTCCTGTATTGGAAAAGCTTGATCCAGAAAATTCTTTTTGAAGCAAGAATATCCACCGGAAAAATTCTTACTAAATTGTCAAGACAAATAATAAATATGTGTTTTTATCTTCCTTGTTATTATTCCTTTGTGACCTATCTTAGCAGTACTCTTTCTACATAATTTTCGTAGCAAAATGGTTATTGAATCACTGTCCATGAAGTTGCTTATGAATGCCTGCTTAAAAAGCATGCAACTTATTTTTACTTTTCTATACCATAAGCATTGAAACCAAACTGCACATATTGTTAATTAGCAAGCATCATTATAGTGAAAAAGTAAATACTTTACGTTATGTTTGCAAGTTGTTACATCATCAACTAAACTGTTCTTATGCATTACAACATTATTCAGTCTCTTTCATTCTCTAAATCAAGTCCTAAATAGACCTGGTTCAGTTCAAACCATACCTGCCGGAAGACCTTGATGATGAGCTCATGATATTCATTGCAGTTCAGTGTTAAATAGCAAGCCAAGAGTTCCTTGAGCTCTTCTGGTTGTCTGATGCCTTTCTCCATGATCATCTCAACCATTGAATCTTTGAAGTCTTGTTGGGGGTCGAGTGAACTTTTTACCACAGCAAAGCTATCAAAGGCTGTTCTGTCCTTGACCACTTTGTTGTTTGTCTTCTTATTCATCTTCATCTTTGCTTTCTTGATGTCCTCAAGAGCGGCAATTCTTGGGGAATGAACTTTGAATTTGCAGCTCTGCTTTGTTCTTCTTTTCTGTGATTCCATTCTTATGTGAATAGATTTCCTCTGTTTCTCACTCTTCAACATCAGTTCTCTGATTTTATTGTCCTTCCATTTTTGCATCTCTGGATTCATTTCTTCTTCAGAAAGTGGTTTAGTTTCCTCCAAATTCAGAGCCTCAACTAGGCAATCTTCTTCAGTTGTCCTGAGATTTGAGTTCACGAATGAGACACTATGCTGCCTCCTAGAATCAGAAACTGTTGACCGCTTGTAATCCTCCTCTTTTGTTCGAATTAACCTTGCTGGTTCTATTTCAAATATATCTTTCTCTACTGATTTGTTATTCTTTTGTGCTTCTTTATCTGATCCTCTTGCTAATTCTGCCCCTTTTTCTTCCAAAATACTTCGATTCATTCTTCTCGTTTTCTGATCTTTCGCAGCTTTTCTCCTTGTTTTTTTAAGTTTTGCTTCTGCACTTTCTTTTCTTCCTTTACATGTATCATTTCCCTGGAAATTTTCCACATTGAGAGGCAATTCTCTTACCTTTCTTATAGCTGAGACCATGTCACTGAACTTGTGACCTTCTTCTCCTCCTGCCACGTCTCTATCCCTACATTTCAAGCTTTTGGAGCTCAACATGGGATCATCAACCTCGTCATCTGAATTATACCAAACAGATTGCAGACCAACTCCTCTACTCTTCACACCATCGAACCTTTCTTCTCCAAACGAAAGTCGCCAATACGAGTCATCATCGTCTGGGCCATAAAACCGACCTTCTTTCAAAACAACACCCTGCACTGAACTCGAACACTCTGATGCCATTTTCCCTTTCTGCATTGTTTTTGCTCCTTTCATTACAGGACTACCACCACCCATATGCTTAAATTTCAAAAGCCATGAACTGGGAAAGACGCGAGAGATTGAAGGAGGGTGCGATGAAGAAGGTGAAGAAGAAGACGATTTCTTTCTTCCCCACTTCATCATTGGCTGCAAAGAACAAATTTTCTCTTGTGGGTTTGAATTATTGCTTGATACTATTGAGGTTTTGGAGTTGCAGGGAAAAGGTGAGAAGATCTGTTGTGATGAATAATGGTTGTAGGTGTTGGAAGCAGTTAGGGGACGGTTAGGATGTTTATTGGGAACGTGGGTTTCATATTGGGTTTTACTGACCTGCCCTATTTTGTTCAAAAGAAAGACCCGCCTTATATCTTGTGACCACTTTACCCACTTTTTCCTACTTTTTAGTTTGATACTTGAGCTTTGTAGAATGGCTGCTCTAACTTGAGGGGACCAAGGACCATTCTTACGTAGTCCTTTAGGTAAAGGGTATGTAATGACTAAATGAGATAAGCCCGAGAAAAATAATATGAGAAACTTTAACCACACCCCTTGTAGATTATTGTATCTTCAAGCTCCTTGCATTATCCGAAACGTACCAACAAGTTCTCTTAGTTTATATCTTCTTTTCATATCTTTCTCTCTCCTCTGAAGAACCGATACTAACAATCTTTATGGCCTGTTTGTTTATTGGGTTTATAAAAGGGAGTTTAACTAAAATAGTTCAATGTACCAGCCATACCCATGTTTGTTTACGGGTTTAAGGTCCAGTATTTAAATCCTAGTCCATGGTGAATAGTGTCGGTTAGACTCGTATAAATAGGTGACTTGACTATTATATCTCTAATAAATTATTTTATCTTATCAAATGCCGAAGGAGGGGAATTTCACGTAAGCAAAGGGAGAATTTTCTTGGATTGACTTCCGCCGATTGAAGTTTTGTGCATTTCAGATGGTGGTAATGTGAGACCACATGTGTATGGATTGTATTGACCAATGGACAATTTAGTCAATTACATAGTAATTTCTAGTTACAATTGCTATTAATCGGTGGGTTCCACGTATGCTTATGCTTGTTATCAAACAAAGGTATGTATAGAATTTATGTACTAATTACATGTACAAAAAAAGGGGTTGAGTTTGGAAAGGATTTATTAAACCAATCCAATCCCCAACTCTTGAAAAACTATCCAAACATACCCTAAAGGAGATGATGTTATCAACTTTTTTTTTTTTTTTTTAATAATAGAATTTTTCCCTCCACTTGGTAAATATGATGATGTATATAATATTTCCCTAATGCTATTTAACAGCATTCTATACAAAAGCCTAGACAAGTTAAAAAAATGACGAGTAAAAATTGAATCTATGTATTGAAAGGATAACATTAAATTAACAAATATATCTCATTATATAGTATGAATTTAATAAATATTCAAATTTTTCCCAGAAAAATAAGGAAAGTAATCATTTCCATTATACCCAATAATAGACAAAACTCTAATTTTGGGTGTTAGTGAAGTTTCACAAAAATATAGGGTATATTTTTAAATATAGGTTAATTTATTGGTTTCAAAATCAAGGCTTGCATCAAATTCTCACAAAAAAAATATACAAAGCCATTCCTGTATCTAAAGGGCTAACAAGGGCATGTTTGGATGGTTTTGGGGTTAAGAGATTGGATTGGTTTTATCGAACTCTTCTAAACTCAACTCTCACTTTAGTGTATATGGGATCTCATCGAAGAGGCATTGTATAAAACAAGTACAAAGTAAAAAGTAGGAACACCATAATAATAGGTGAAAATATTTATTTATTTAGTTAGAAGAACAAAATGAAGTGAAGTAGAACTGGTAGAAAGTGGAGTAAAAAAAAAGGCAATTAAAAGAAAATATATTTTCTTATATACATTTGATCAAAAAATATTTTTTAAAAAAAATTAGTAAAATTTCTCTTTATTTTTTTGAAAAGCATAAATGTTACAAGTATATTCTTGTGGTTACCTAACTTTTTCTTCTCATAATATATATATATATATATATTGCTGTGTGTGAATCTTTTTTAACGAAATTAGACATTGATTTTAAAAAGAATACCAAATTTTCTTTTTTTTTTTGGCAGAAAAAAATTATTTACTTACTCAAACGAAAAAAAGAAGAAGAAAGAAAAGTGGATTACTTTCTAAAAATCCATCCAATGGAATAAGTTTCTATCCTAATTACTTGTCACATCCTACTAACCAAACACTTGAATTTTTCTTTAAGCAAACTAGGTTCTTATATTTCTTTGAAGGATACAAAAGAAAAACGAATCATGTGAATTTCTTCTTTTGCTTTGCGCTTTATCCTTTAATCTTTAGTTTCTAGAATTTGAACTTCTCTTTTGTCAATGTTTTCTGCAATTGGGCTTGAATGTAGGCCGGCAACTCTACTCTACTCGTTTCGTGTCGTGTCGTGTCGTGTTATTTATAAATTTGTGTCGAACATTAATCAATCTTAATCTAATCCAACTCATTGTGTTATTTATGAGTTTGTGTCGAGTATTAATCAACCTTAATCTAACCAAACTCATTTAACTAATCGTGTTATGTCGATCCACTTGTTTATTTTCGTATCGTGTTGATGTCACTTAGTTGAATCCATGCATAGTATTTTTTCTATAAACTAAAAATTAACTTAATAAATATAATAATAAAAATAAGTAAAACACATTTTTTATCCAAGAATTATGTCAATTCTTGATAAAAAATAACAAAAATTTGATATTTTATTTTTATAATACTCGTTAAATGTGTTAATCGAGTTAATTTTGTGTGATTCGAGTTTGACACTAACTCAATTCATTTATTATTTGTGTTAATAATTTATGTCGTATGCGAGTTCGTGTTAAAAAATAATCAACCTTAACCTACTAATTTCGTGTACCCAATTCTTAATCATCGTATTGAGTTGGGGACAGTATTAAAGGGAAAGGCTGATTCTTAGGTCTGATAACTTTATACACTATTTGCAAATCTAACACGAAATCAAAAACGGATCTACCAGGGTTGGTTAGGTTTGAGAGGTGAGTGGGTGAATCCATCAAAACTGTTGAGTAAATGGGTGTGCGTGCAAGATCTTGCACAATATAAAAAACGAGAACAGATCTCTCCCTTGGTGAACTCGAGTGAGCCAGTTGAGTGACCAACCACGCTGCTTGGAACAGCCTGCGAGGTCCGGTGGTAACCAGGAACGGCAACGGGAGACCCTGGGGGAGCGGAAGAACGATCCAGTAAGGCTGAAAGAGGTTCCTAGAACAAAGAAGAACAAGTTAGAAGGGCGCCGGAGTGTTTTCCGGCGTATCCCCTCTGACGATCTAGTCAGTCTTTGAGAAAGAGAGAGGAAGGAGAAAACACTGAGTGTATATTGTAGTAAAGAATTTTTTGTTGCATACCCGTCTTGCCTTTTGCAAGGAGTATTTATACCTCAAAAGCTCATGATTGCTGTCAGTGTAGTCAGTAGGTGATCATTAGGTACATGCAGTGTGCGCACTGATTCTGATGATGAATGTCTTCTCTTCTTAACTGCTCGGGGTCCCGAGCAATCAATGCTGCATCATCGAGATGCCGACGGTACAGTCCCGAGTAATCAATGCTGCGTCATCGAGATGCCGACGGTACAATATACTCCTCTCGGGGAGGATGCAATAAATGCTCTGTATTAGGAGCATTTATTGCCTTTCATTTTCGAGCCTTACCGCATTAAATACAGTCTCGTCAAAGGAGTGGTGCAATTAATCGTTTGTGTTCCCAAGTCGCGTGTCAGTAACGGCATGCGGCTTTTCTGTTTTTGATGTGATATCGTATGCCACGCGTCCATCCCCCATTAGCTGTGGCCCCTGCATTCCAGTACGTTCTAACACTAATTGTGTAAGACGAGGTCATGATGAATAGCCTAGACTAGCCTAGGCTAATGACCTGTACGTCAATAGCTTATCCTGGAGTAGAGGAAGCATCCAGGATGGGGTACCTCTCAGCACCGAGGAAAGGCCATCTCGGAACCGAGGGAGGTATACCGACCGAGGTACCATATCAGACCGAGGCTACATGTTGGTTGTAACTCGTACTGAATGCCATGATCCTATATGACGAGTACCTCGGGGGTGAGGAACTTTGTGCGCCGATGGTGCTTGATCTTAGCAACAGTATTTTGGTAAATACCGATGACACGTGTCTTCATCATGTAGTATTTTAGAAAAGTCCCATCAACTGCCCCCCAGCCTTCGATCTTCTGACACCGAGGGCACGCGTCGTAAGGAGACGAAGGGTTTCCCAACAACCACAAATGCTTCATCATTGCCTCGAGTCGCTCTCCCCAGCTTAGGATATCGTGTACATTAAATGCGCCGTTTCGTTTTTTGCGCCCAATGATGAAACTGCCACTATATAAATGGGGTTCCTCTTGCATTTTCTTGTTTCGTCATTCCGAACTTCCTCAAGAGAGCCTTTTCCTGAATCTTCGCTGGAGATCTCCTGTTGTTAGGAACCTGAGAAAAGGATCAATCCAACTGGGCGGCTTGTGTGCGTCTTGGATGATCATTGCCTCGGGAGCATGATCTATGCAGGATGCGGGAAGGTATTCAATGGTGATCCTGCGCGACTGGGAGGAGTCCACCGCCGAGGCTAGACAAGCCAGGGCGTCGGCATGTGTGTTCTTGTCTCGGGACACTTGTTTGATTTCAATCCGGCCGAACCTTCGAATTACAGTCGTCACCTGGTGATGGTAGGCCTTCATCCTAGGGTCCCTTGTCTCAAACTCTCCGTTAACTTGATTGACTACTAGCATAGAATCACAATGCACGATTAAATCGGTAATTTCAGTCGCCTCCGCTAACCGAAGTCCTGAGACGAGGGCCTCGTATTCAGCTTCATTATTCGAAGCCTTGAATCCCAGCCGAACGACCTGCTCCGCAATAATCCCATCTGGAGAGGTCAGCAAGATACCGATTTCGGACCCCTTACTATTTGACGAACCGTCCACACACAAAAGTCATGGCGATCCTTCACAATTCGTTGGAGACGCTAAGTCGGGAGGAGGCGGTCCTTCTAGAACGGGATGCTCCCCCAAAAACTCAGCTATGAAGTCTGCCAATATTTGACCTTTTATCAC